TTATTATTATTATTATTATTATTATTATTATTATTATTATTATTATTATTATTATTATTATTATTTCTGTACAGCTTTCTTTGGAGAATTTAAGGTGATTGGACACTATATTCTTCCAGGGCTGCTTCCCGATCTAGTCTACAACTTGAGATTTCCGAGTGGTCTCCCATCCAAGAACAAACAGTCCGACCGTAACTTAGCATCCTTTTAAGTTTGGTTCCATAAACAGACGATATATTTTGAACGCTAGATTGTAATGAAAAGTAGCCTCTTTCACTTAGGCCACGCCCCCTGGCACAAATAGGAAACGCCAAGTGGGACTATATGACCTTCACGGCATCCCGTAGCCGCAGTTCCTTGCCAGGGCTACTACGGGAGTCTGACGTTGCCCAGCTGGTGCGTAGCAGAAGGGGCAGAGGCGGCCATGGCTTCCGACTCGCGTGCGGCGTCTGGTGTCTCCGGGAGCCGCTTCCTCATCGTAGGAGGCGGGATCGCCGGAGTGACGTGCGCCGAACGGGTAAACTTCTCATCCTTCGCCATTAACGGCGCGCGCGTTTGTGCGCATGCGCCCGGTAGCAATTTTCTTTCCGTGAATGTACCTACTACGGTATTGTGCCTGGGGATGGGAACTTCCTGATTGGTTCATAGAGTTAAAAAGTGAAGATGTCAACGCACGGACAGTTTCCGGGTTGCTTTGTACCCTATTTTGCTTTTTTTTTTTTTAAAGGGAGGGGGGATAGGGAAGGTAGGGATCCAGCACCTTTGCACCCTATGAAATTGAGCAGCTGTGACCTTCTCTGCACGAAGTCATTCTCACCCAGGGGGAGTCTGGTGGAGGGGGGGTTGGACTAGATGACCTACAAGATCCCTTCCAACTCTATTCTAAGATAAGGATTCCAGTTTGTTTGTTTTTTACGATGTCATTAAAGAAGAAGAAAATACTAGCGGAGAGCAAGACGTACCAAGGATTTTGTTCTGTGTTAAGTCCTGGAACGTCTTAGTCAACTGATACGTCGTATATCTTGCAGGCAATTTATGTCTTAATGACAAACAAGAACAACTTCCTGGACTATATTGTAGAATGTAGATCGTTATTTGCATTTCTCACTCTTATGAGAAGAGGGGTCGTATTAAACTGCTTTTAAAAAGTTCATATCTGTTATGGATTTTTGATTACCATAGAAAATTATAAATCTGTAAATAAAGGCATAAATATATGGAGAATGGTCCTAGTGGCTTGGTTGATCCCAATAAATGATTTGCTTGAAAACGTTCAAATCTGTTTAGAAATTTATTTCCTAAGAACAAGGCAACCTTTTTTCATCCAGTCTTCCAAAATTAAAAATCCAGTATTTTATACTGTTTACAATCTCTCTGCTCCCACCTAGTGGCCATATCGATTTCTGCAGACTGAAAATACAATACAGGTAGTCCTCCACTTACAGCAATTTGTTTAAGGGCCATTCAAAGTTACAACAGCGCTGAAAAAAGTAACTTATGACCGTTTTTCACACTTACAGCCATTGCAGCATCCCAACGGTCACGTGATCAAAATTCAGACGCTGGGCAACTGACTCATATTTATGATGGTCGCAGTGTCCCGGGGTCATATGATCACCTTTTGTGAACTTCTGACGAGCAAAGTTAATGGGGAAGCCAGATTCACTTAACCACCGTGTTTGTATCTTAACAACTGCAGTGATCCGCTTAACAAATGTGGCAAGAAAGGTCGTAAAATGGGGCAAAACTCAGTTAACAAATATGTCACTTAGCAAGAGACATTTTGGGCTCAGTTGTGATCGCAAGTTGAGGACTAATTGTGGTCACCTTATATCAGGGGTCTTCAAACTTGGTCTTTTTATGACTTGTGGACTTCAATTCCCAGAATTCCTCAGCCAGCGTGCCTGGCTGAGGAATTCTGGGAGTTGAAGTCCACAAGTCATAAAAGGGCCAAGTTTGAAGACCCCTGCCTTATATTAACTCCATGCCACAGATTTTGCCCTGTTCATGTCATGCAAGGTCAAGGATGATAATTCTTCATGTGTAGGTGATGACCAGGATGAGCCCAGGGCCAAGTGTTATTAGTTTGGAATGGCTCTGTTCTAACAAGAGATCTAAGCCCAGACTTCCTTGAATTCTTTTGACTCTTCTCTAAGGCTAATTCGCCTTGACCATTAGTAAGATCAGATTCTTGTGTATAGGTAGCATGTAATAAACTTGAAGTGCTTTGAACTAAATTCCTGTTCCTGGCTACTTGTGCCTGACATCATGATGATTTTAGTCCATTTACTGTTAAATGCCAATATTCATACAGCAATAGCCAGCTTTCTGATTTAATCATAGACAGACATGCTGCTTAGCACAGTGTTTCTCAACCTTGACAATTTTAAGGCATGTGGACTTCAACTCCCAGAATTCCACAGCCAGCAATGCTGGCTGTGGAATTCTGGGAGTTGAAGTCCACATGCCTTAAAATTGTCAAGGTTGAGAAACACTGGCTTAGCACAAAATATCCCAGAACAATAACCTCAATATCTTCCTTTTTTTTTTTTTTACAAGCTGGCTGCAGAGTTTCCCTCTGATGATATTTTTTTAATTACTTCTTCTCCTGTTATAAAAGCAGTGGTGAACTTCAAACAGGTAAGGCAGATTTATTCTCCTTTTTTCGGGCTAGAGAAAAAAAAAAAGTAGACCGGGGAACCAAATGCCTTATTTAATCAGTAGCATCGTACATGAATTAGTAAATACTATGCCTCTTTAGATATGTTTCTGGGGTATTTGTATATCAGTGGATCTTAAACGGAAGCCATTGTGGTGCAGTGATTAAGACATCAGGTTAGAAAGAGGGAAATTATGAGTTCTTTGTGTAGAAATCCAGCCAGGTGACTAGTCATCTTCTCCTAGCCCTGAGAAGAAGGTAAGAAAACTAGCAAGAGCTGACCACAAGTCAAAACTGATTCAAATGCACAAAAACAAAGGCTGCATTAACAGAGGGATAGAATCAAAATCACGTGAAGTGTTAATACCACTTTACAATGCCTTGGTAAGGCCACACTTGGAATACTGCATCCAGTTTTGGTCACCGCGATGTAAAAAAATGTTGAGACTCTAGAAAGAGTACAGAGAAGAGCAACAAAGATGATCAGGGGACTGGAGGCTAAAACATATAAGGAACGGTTGCTGGAATTGGGAATGTCTAGTTTAATGAAGAGAAGGATGAGGGGGGACATGATAGCAGTGCTCCAGTATCTCAGGGGCTGCCCCAAAGAAGAGGGAGTCAAGCTATTCTCCAAAGCACCTGAAGGCCGGACAAGAAGCAATGGATGGAAACTAAACAAGGAGAGAAGCAACCTAGAACTAAGGAGAAACTTCCTGACAGTTAGAACAATTGACCAGTGGAACAACCTGCCTCCAGAAGCAGTGAATGCTCCAACACTGGAAGTTTTTAAGAAGAGACTGGACAGCCATTTGTCTGAAATGGTATAGGGTTTCCTGCCTGAGCAGGAGGTTGGACTAGATGACCTCCGAGGTACCTTCCAACTTTATTATTATTATTATTATTATTATTATTATTATTATTATTGTTGTTGTTGTTGTTGTTGTTGTTGTTGTTGTTGTTGTTGTTGTTGTTATTATAGTTCTAAATTAAGAATCCCGACTGAGCTCTTGATTCTACTTTTCAACAGGTTTCCCGAACTTTGGAAGAATTTGATGTTGAGGAACAAGCAAACAGCATCTTAGGAAAACGCTACCCCAATATTAAAGTTATACAGTCTGCAGTGAGGCAACTGAAAAGCAAAGATCATGTAAAGAAAAACTTTTATCTTTTGATTGTCATTGAGAATATTGAATGTTGCTTTCCTTTTCAGGACTCCATTACAAAGAAAACTGGTAGAAGGTAACCTAGATTTTGAAGATTATCTACTCAATTTTATTTATTGATGCAGAGTCCGATTTATCAGTTTGCTGTTTGTATATACACTGAGAACTTCTGCATGGGAGATAAATTCCTTATTTGTCCAATCACACTTGGCCAATAAAGAATTCTATTCTATTCTAAAATTCTGTCCATGTGGACCTCCCCTTACATTTGCTCAACTAGCTAAAGAAAATTAGAATAGTAACATCTTTTAAGCCCTTAATGAAAACACACCTTTTAAACCATGATTTCCTGGTTGGAATCTTGGAATAAATGCATTTACTCTTTCCTCCACCTTTTTAAAATAAATCTGTTTGACTGAATACTGTTTTGCTGTATAATGTATTAATGTGAGGTTTAATTTTATTATTTATTGCTGCATTTATTGTCATTTACTTCAAGATGCTTCAGCATAGAAAGAAGAATACCAAACGAAGACATAATAATACACAGCATTACTTTGGAAATACCAATAGTTAATTCACTTTCCTTGAATGCTTCACGGTAGCACAAACTTACCAATCTTTATCTTCATTGGTTCCTGATGTCAGATCAAACAATTTGATTTAATTCTTTCTTTTGGTTTTTTATTTTTTAATGTGGTTGCAGAGGATCATCACTGAAGCTGGTCAGGAGTATACCTTTGAAAAACTCTGTTTGTGTGCTGGAGCAAAACCCAAGCTGATTACAGAAGGAAATCCTTACGTCCTGGGGATACGAGATACAGATAGCGCAGTGGTAAGATCCCTTGCTTGCATGTTTTTGATGGTCTGTTAGCATTTGTGATAGCACTGACAACTTGTAGCTAAAAGTAGCTCTGAAATACAGGTGACAGAACATTGCAAGGGTACCATTTTGGCTGCTTTATTATAAAAATGGTACCGGAGCATGATACCTGTTCTTAGCCTGCTAGGCTGAATTATAATTTTCTTTGTTTCCAGCATGCCCTGTCCAGGTTCTGGCTGATATTGGATAAGTCTATAGCAGGGATCTTCAAACTTGGTCCTTTTATTGACTTGTGGACTTCAACTCCCAGAATTCCTCAGCAGCTCCATTTCAGGACCACGAAATAGAAGGATTATTAAAATAGAATCTTTTTTTTTGAAGTGGTAGAATATATTTTTAATTCACTCCATGGCAAATGTCTCTAGGATAATTAAAAAATGTTAAAAGAATAAAACTAATTAAAGAAGTAAAATTAAAATAGGGAACAATAAATAGCATTAATATCTACTTTTTTCCCAGGATGCATGAGCACATCAACGTTGTTGTTGTTATTATTATTATCATCATCATCATCATCATTTATTCATTAAAGATGAACCTCAATCAATTGAATATTCAAATTGGCTGGCACTGATGGTTGACACGGGTTGCTACCAGCATCATCATCATCATTACTATTATTACTATTACTACTACTACTACTACTACTACTACTACTACTACTACTACTACTACTATTATTATTATTATTATTATTATTATTATTATTATTATTATTATTATTATTATTATTATTATTACCTGAATTCTAGACATCTCTATTTCTTGGCATTTTTAATTGATACCAGTGGAATTCTGCTTTGCTTTAGAGATGACTTAGCAGATTTTTTTACTGTGCTAATAAGTATCTCTTTCTTTGTCATACATAGGAACTCCAGAAACATCTAGCAAAAGCTAAAAGAATAACCATTGTAGGAAACGGCGGCATTGCACTAGAATTGGTGTAAGTAAGTTTGGATGGTAGAATAGGTAATAATTTCTCCTTGGCAACAGGTATTAACCTTTTGCTATTGTGTAGCGTCCAGTTGTTTTGAACATACAGTATAATTAGAAGATGATTGATAGGCTTCTATAATAGGGAATGTGCTGATATCCTTTGATGAATTCCAAGTTGTTTCCCCAAGTATGAAACCAGGAGTATGTGTGTGTGTGTGTGTGTGTGTGTGTGTGTGTGTGAGAGAGAGAGAGAGAGAGAGAGAGGGAGAGAGAGAAAGACAGAGACAGACAGAGCGTTCACATGGGAACCACAATTGAAACGCCGCCTTTTGTCACAAGCATCAATGAAGTTTTGTTGTAATTCCCAACCTCATTCCCAATTCTAAACTTGGAAAGAGTGGGGTTTGGCTATTGCATCCTCAGGGTCCCTAGTGCAGCTGACCCCAACCTTTTGGGCACCGGGACCTGTTCCGTGGAGAGAGATTTTTTTCCGCAGACCGAAGGGAGCATGGTTTTGCATGCTGCCTGCATCCCGCGGATGGGGCTTTGCTTGTTGCGTGGCCCAGTTTCTGGCATGTTGCAGCCTGGAGCCGGTCCATGAACCAGGGGGTTTGGGACCCTTGCCATAGAATATCGGAGGCCTTGCAGGTTTTTCCAGAGATCTCCTGCAGTTCCATTTGCTCAGCAAGAGAGATGGTGAGGCATTTGCGCCCTGAGATCTGGAATGCCTTGACACAAAGATTCAAAGTGGTTAGCTCCTCTCATACGTTCCCACTTCAGACTTAGAGATATCACAATTCAACTGAAAATAATTCTGTGGATCTGAACAGCCCAGAATTGCTGGGAGTTAGGGAACATATTTGCTTATTTGTTTGTTTGTTTAATTTGTATCCCGCTTTATTATTATAGAAATAACTCGAGGAGAATATATCCAACAAAACTTTCCTGCTCCTATTTTGCCCATAACAACCGTGTGGAGGTGGGTTGGGCCAAGAGAGGTAACTGGCCCCAAATCACCCAGCTGGCTTTCATGGCTAAGGCGGGAGTTGAACTCACAGTCTCTTGTGATTGGCCCAAAGTCACCCAGCCGGCTGTCATGTCTAAGGCGGGAGTTGAACTCACAGTCTCTTGTGATTGGCCCAAAGTCACCCAGCTGGCTTTCATGGCTAAGGCAGAACTTGAACTCACAGTCTTCTGCTTTCTAGCCTGATGCCTTAATCACTAGACCAGTGATGGTGAACCTTTTAGAGACCGAGTGCCCAAACTGCAACCCAAAACCCACTTATGTATCGTCGGGTGCCGGGTGGGCGTGGTGCATTGGATGGGTGTGGTCAATTAGGTGGGTGTGGCCCATTGGGTGGGCGTGGCTGCGGTGGCAACTGTAGACTGGGTGGGACTAAAAAGTTCAATCAATCAATTCCAACTTTGCGAGCTCTTTTTTTTTCCTGCGAGAAGTTGAAATTGATTGAACCTTTTTTTTGCACATGGCAGCAGAGGCCTAAAGCGAAAAGGGTTTATAAAACCCAGCTGAAGGCCTAGGATTGGGGCGACGGCATGCGTGCCCACAGAGTGGGCTCTGTGTGCCACCTGTGGCACGCGTGCCATAGGTTCGCCACCACGGGGCTAGACCAAACTATAATATACATTGTAATAAATTAGCAGTATTAGCAGGTTCAACATCTGTGCCTTTAGGAGACTGAATGCAGCATCGACATTTTAACAAACAAAACCGAGTCCGCTCATTGGTTGAAACAACTTGCAAGCCTTTTCTTATACTTCCCAACTGAATGCTAAATATATCTCAGCCTCTGTGAATGGATGACCTAATCATCCCTACTATGAAAATGTAATAAATAGTATTTTTTTATTAAAAAAAAAACTGCCTGTCTTTCGATCTGCAGGTACAAAATTGAAGGCTGTGAAGTCATTTGGGCCATCAAAGACCAAGCAATTGGCAATACTTTTTTTGATGCAGGGGCAGCTGAGTTTTTGATTCCAAAGCTCACCGCTGAAAAACCAGAGACTCCGGCAGCTTGTAAAAGAACAAAATATACTGTGGCAGGTAGATAACCTCAACTCTTTCGTGTGTCGTTGTCTCAAAATACCATTCCATCTATTCTACCTAATACAGGTGGTCCTTGACTTATGACCACAACTGAGCCCAAAATTTCTGTTGCTAAACGAGACAGTTAAGTGAGTTTTCCCCATTTTACGACCTTTCTTGCCACTCTTGTTAAGTGGATCCCTGCAGGTGTTAAGTTAGTAACACGGTTGTGAAGTGAATCTGGCATCTCCATGGGCTTTGCTTGTCAGACGGTCGCAAAAGGTTGTCAGATGAACCCGGGACACGGCGACCATCGTAAATATGAATCAGTTGCCAAATGCCTGAATCGCTTGATCAAAATGGGGATGCTGCAACGGTTGTAAGTGTGAAAAACGGTCACTTTTTCCAATGTTCTTGTTGACTTTGGGTAGTCAACTAGATGAACTGTTGTAAGTCAAGGACTACCTTTGTGCACCATTCACAATGTTTTTGAGTTGTGCAAAGTGACTTGTAAGTTTGTAAATTTATCTCTCTCTCTCTCTCTCTCTCTCTCTCTCTCTCTCCCTCCCTCCCTCCCTCCCTCCCTCCCTCTTTCTCTCTCTCTCTCTCTCTTTCTGTTTCTCTCACATGTTTGAATTTTTTTCCCCTATAGAAAGAGAAGAACAAGCTTCGGAGCATCTTGGGAAAGTAGGAAGTGCCTTGGGCCCTGATTGGCATGAGGGCTTGGATTTAAAGGGAGCAAAAGAGGTAATGATTGTTTATTTTGGATGATCATGGAACTTTTTTAGGGGGGTGGGAGGGCATATGGTAGCACTGAAGATGTTATCTAGCTGGGTAATGAAACTTCTGCAAGAAAGCAACTAAGTTCAGAAAGCATCAAGGATTCCACAGGTCAACCCTGAACTAGAAATATTCTCTTCTGTGGCATGGCACTTGGTCAAGTGTGGCTACTCAGCTCATGCTTCCCTAACCAAATGTTCCATTCAATACATGGGCGGTAGGGTTGGTGGCCAAGGCACCATCCGTGAAGCCCATAGCTAGTAACATTGGTAGAAAGGGATGTTACTGTCATTTGCTTAGCTACAGGACTGTTCTGTCCCAGCCTACGTGAGTCCTTGTTAAGATCACAAGGAGAAACCCCTCTTCCAACAAGCAGGCTGGAACCGCAGGAAAAAAAACAATCCCCTTTTATTATTTACAGACCTGAGTCAATGTCCAAGGCAAACAAAACACAGTTCACAGAAACTTGATTCCTTAACACAAACGGTTGCTTTCAGCAACCAGCACCTCCCACACCTTCCCTTTTATTATGCAGCCAAGGGTGACTTCCTAATGCCTTCTCCTTTGCCTTTGGAGCCGCCCCATTGCATTCCTCTGTCCTACTCTTCTTGCCTGCGCATTCGTGCATCTGGGATTTGTCCCAGCTGTTCTTCATCACTGTCCAACTCAGACTCCCAGCACAGCTGTGTCTCAGTCTGAGCTCGAGTAGAGGGACCAGGCTCCTTGTCAGACTGTAAGTCTCGAAGCTCCTCAGAGCCTTCCTCTGACTCTGATGTCACTCCAGGCCCCTCCTCCTCCTCCTCCTCCTCTGATTCCCCAGACTCAGCTGCCGGGTCTACTGGCTGGCGAGGAATCACAACAAGGACTATCTGTGATGTGGATCAAATATCAGCACTGCAGCTGGGATAGTGATACTATAACAGCCAACTGATGTATAAATCAAGCTGGAGCAGGCTTCAAGCTTGAAAGATCTACCATAAGTTCTCAGTTTTCCTTCTGCCGGTCCATTCTAAATCCTCAGGTTTCAAGGAGAATGACTTGGCCTTCCTTGATAAACAAATCATTGAATAGCGCCCAGTTTGATCACTGTAATTTCTGTGTGAAGTTCTTAATTGTGAGGCTCTAGCATGCAAATCTTACATTCTTACTGAGCTTAGTGAAACATCTGGAGGAATCTTATGACAAAAAACGCATGATCAGTGACGGCCTCGTAGGTGGGAGTCGGACTGGTCAATCTAATACAAGTAAAGTCATGCCATTTTGCTTCGGTCCTTGGTACACACCTTGTGATAAAAGAGTTATGGGGTGACATTTACCGATGAACTGAGTATGCCCAGGCACAAAGCTGAAAGCATGTAGTGTTAGTGCTTAAAGTTGTGGTTCTTAAACTGTTTGGTTCAGTTTTCCCTTTTCCTGGTTTCAAATAATATAATTATCCCCATCAAAAGAAATAAGAACAAACTCAGTTGTTTTACAGAAGCATCTTAACAGTGGCAGTCCCAAACTGGATCCTTGATTCACAATTACAAATTACCCCATTGCTCCCAGGATATGTCCAAATTTTCCCCTTGGCTATTTAATTATCCTTAGGATGATCACCCCCAGTTTAGGAATGACTAATTCACAAGTATGAATGAATGCAATTGTTGATGGTTTCCAGCTTTGCCACCAAGTTCATATTGAGAATCTGTGCGAAATAAAGAGGATCTACCTCCAAGAAGAATTCAAGCTGTCACGGAAAGTATCCCTGACTTTCCCCAAAACTCTAGAAGGCAAAAGGAGTGAAGAAGCAAATGAAGGTAAATAATCTTAAAAACTTGGAGTTGTTTCTCTGATCCACAAGGTTATATACCAGTGGTGGCGAACCTACGGCACAGGTGCCAGAGGCGGCACTCAGAGCCTTCTCTGTGGGCATGCGTGCCATCGTCCCAGTCCTAGGCCAGTGGTGGCGAACCTACGGCACAGGTGCCAGAGGCGGCACTCAGAGCCTTCTCTGTGGGCACGCGTGCCATCGTCCCAGTCCTAGGCCAGTGGTGGCGAACCTACGGCACAGGTGCCAGAGGCGGCACTCAGAGCCTTCTCTGTGGGCACGCGTGCCATCGTCCCAGTCCTAGGCCTTCAGCTGGGTTTTATAAGGCCTCTGCTGCCATGTGCAAAAAAAAAAAGGACCAATCAGTCAATTTCAACTTCTCGCGGAAAAAAAAAAGATCTTGCAAAGTTGGAATTGATTGATTGAACTTTTTAGTCCCACCCAGTCTGCCGTTACTACCGCAGCCACGCCCACCCAATTGGCAACAACCACCCAATTGGCAACAACCACCCAATGGGCCACACCCACCCAGCACTCAACGATGCATAAGTGAGTTTTGGATTGCAGTTTGGGCACTCGGTCTCCAAAAGGTTCGCCATCACTGTTATATACTACGTCTCGGTTTATGAATGGAGTCTCTGACAGCCAATGAAATGGATAAAGCTGTCTGTCAAATGGGGATGCACGTCTTTGACAGGGCCAGGCTCAGCCCAGTCTAGGAAGTATATGGCCCCCAGATATACAGATTGTAATGTGCACTGTAGCGGCTGGGGGAGCAGGAATGCTTAAGCGTGAACGAGGGCAGTAGTGTCCACGGGAGATGGTCAAAATCGGCAAAGTAACAGATGGAGCATCAGGGTGCCAGCTCCGCCCCCTTTTATCTGCACATTCTAAAGGGGTGGGACTTGCAATGCAAGGCTGTGTTGCCATCTGTCAACCTTACAGCAAGATCATACAGGAACCTGCACACATGTCGGGAGCACCGAGGTGCTTCTGGGTGGAAAGGATTGACCAGTGACCTTATGGTTGCCCGAAGGATGCCCAATTGGGGGCTCCTTTTATGTTCCTGGCAGGAGTTGGAGCCAAGGACAGGAACTAACCCAGCCCACAGCAACACTCAGGTCTCGAACGCAGGATTGCTAACCTCCAACCCAGCTTCCTTACCATGCAAGCCATGAGGCTCCTTTACCAGATGAGCTAATTCTACTTTATTCTAAGGCAGTGGTGGCGAACCTATGGCACGGGTGCCAGAGGCGGCACTCAGAGCCCTCTCTGTGGGCATGTGTGCCGTCGCCCCAGTCCTAGGTCTTCAGCTGGGTTTTATAAAACCTTTTCGCTTTAGGCCTCCGCCGCTGTGTACAAAAAAAAAAAGTTCAATCAATCAGTCAATTTCAACTTCTCACGGGAAAAAAAAGATCTTGCAAAGTTGGAATTGATTGATTGAACTTTTTAGTCCCACCCAGTCTGCCGCAGCCACGCCCACCTAATGGGCCACACCCAGCCAATGGGCCATACCCACCCGGCACCCGACAATGCATAAGTGGGTTTTGGGTTGCAGTTTGGGCACTCGGTCTCTAAAAGGTTCGCCATCACTGTTCTAAGGCTACATTAACTGAATCTTGCAACTCTAAAAGTACAAATCTCCCACCGTCTCTTTTAGCATTCTGATAAGTTAGGATCCTTTTCCGAGTTTCTTTCTCTGTCCATTATGCAGCTCTGCTTTCTCCCACCTTATCAGATTATTCTCAACACAGCTTATCTTCTACCACCACTCATCTCCAAAGGTCATTCCCACATACAGTACCATTGCAGCATCTTCCAGATTTTCACTCCTACCTCACATCCCGGAACTGCTGAATGATGATTATGTTCTTAGCAGTTTTAGCTTCCTCCAGAAGCCCAGAATTTATAAGCATAACTGCTTCAAGTGATCATCTATGCCAGGGGTAGGCAATCTTGGCTCTTTTATGACTAGTGGACTTCAACTCCCAGAATTCCTGAGCCAGCCATGCTGAGGGGAAAGGGAGAGGTTGCCATGCTTAGCCATGCTGGCTCAGGAATTCTGGGAGTTGAAGTCCACGAGTCATAAAAGAGCCACGGTTGCCTACCCCTGATCTATGCCAAGGGTCTCCAAACTTGGCAACTTGAAGACTTGTGAACTTCAACTTCCAGAATTCCTCAGCCGGCTATGCCGGCTGGGGAATTCTGGGAATTGAAGGCCACAAGTCTTGAAGTTGCCAAGTTTGGAGAGACCCTTGGCATGTTGAAGGGATACATTTTTCCTTTTCCCTGATTTCTTGGCTGATTTTCATATCACCTATATCATATTATGTCATCTAAATGCCTAAATATTTCATGCTTGCAGAGCTTTGGCCTGTCTACGTGGAACTCACCAATGGGAAGATTTATGGCTGTGACTTCATTGTTAGCGCAACTGGAGTGACGCCAAACGTTCAGCCATTCCTTGATGGTAATAATGTAAGGATTCATAACTGAACGCTTGTCTTCCAAAGAGACTTGATTATTTCGATACCCAAAGCCCCATGGTCTTTCAGGTGTTCCCTCTCCCCAAATTTTCTTTTTAAAATAATATACACATGATTTTTTCTTTAGTTTTGGGACTGGAATTTTGCAACCAGTTTGTCAAGCGAATCACACGGTCATTAAGCAAATCTGGCTTTCGTCATTAATTTTGCTCATCTGATACAGGCTGGGATGGTTGCAAATCACATGACTACAAGACTTTTGTTGATGTTAGTTGCGAAGTCGTGTCCGACCCATCGCAACCCCATGGACAACATTCCTCCAGGCCTTCCTGCCCTCTACCATCTTCTGGAGTCCATTGAAGCTCAGGCCTCCTGCTCCAGTGACTCCATCCAGCCACCTCATTCTCTGTCGTCCCCTTCTTCTATTGCCCTCCATCTTTCCCAGCATTAGGCTCTTCTCCAGTGAGTCCTTCCTTCTCATTAGGTGGCCAAAGTACTTGAGTTTCAACTTCAGGATCTGGCCTTCTAAAGAGAAGGAAATGGCAACCCACTCCAGTATCTTTGCCATGAAAACCCCACGGACAAGACCCTACAATCATTATAAATGTGAGCTGGTTGCCAAGCATCTTGAGAGCCAGATCTGGCCCTGGGTTCTGCCTCAGTTTACCTTCCCAATAAGCAGCCGAGTTGGAAGATTATTTAAAAGCAGTTCATTGGATACCCTGATAAAGTGGGATCTCCCTATGAAAAGGGAGAAGCTCAAGACCCATCTTAACATTCCTTTTTTATAGTTAACACAACAAAGAAAATCCAAGAGGAAAGCTGATTGGACAGGATACAAGTAAAACCCCCCCTTTGCATAGGAAATCAGTTATATGTAGTCAAACATGTTACATATTTGCATCCCATAACATCACAAATGTTTATTAAAATGAGGTCTGACAGTCAGGGAAAGGGTTGCTTAAAGTTCACCGAAAGAGATAAACCAGACCCCAGCTTATACTAACAAACTTTTTTCTTATCTGGAGATCCGTCTCCAGCCAGTTTGTCTTTTCAGTTTAGGAATGTTAAAAGCTGTTCCTACATTCCAGTCCGTAATGAGCCTGAACATCATTTTAAAGGAGAGAAAACAAGTCAAATTAAAGTACAAAGGAACTATATTAGTTAACAAGTTACAAAATCCATGTCATGTGCCCCCTCCCACCCAAATCCCAACCCCCATGATTGCAGGGATGGTGCAACGGTTGTAACTTTGAAGCTGTGCCCTAAGTCATCTTTTTCAGGATTGTTATTTATTAAATTTATGTGCCGCCCAACTTAATAATAATAATAAAGTTGGAAGGGACCTTGGAGGTCATCTAGTTCAACCCCCTGCTCAGGCAGGAAACCCTATACCATTTCAGGCAAATGGCTGTCCAGTCTCTTCTTAAAAACTTCCAGTGTTGGAGCATTCACCGCTTCTGGAGGCAGGTTGTTCCACTGGTTAATTGTTCTAACTGTCAGGAAGTTTCTCCTTAGTTCTAGGTTGCTTCTCTCCTTGATTAGTTTCCACCCGTTGCTTCTTGTCCTGCCTTCAGGCGCTTTGGAGAACAGCTTGACTCCCTCTTCTTTGTGGCAGCCCCTGAGATACTGGAACACTGCTATCATGTCCCCCCTTCGTCCTTCTCTTCATTAAACCAGACATACCCAATTCCTGCAACCGTTCCTTATACGTTTTAGCCTCCAGTCCCCTGATCATCTTTGTTGCTGTTCTCTGTACTTTTTCTAAAATCTCAACATCTTTTTTACAACTGGATGCAGTATTCCAAGTGTGGCCTTACCAAGGCATTGTAAAGTGGTATTAATACTTCCCGTGATCTTGATTCTATCCCCCTGTTAATGCAGCCTAACGTGTCCAGAGTCAACATAATAACTTTTCATCCGTCATTAAACAAATGGTCATAAGTCAAGGACTACATGTATTCCTGCCAAGATACTCAAGAGCAATTCAAATCACAGAGCTCTTCGTGTTGAGATTATTATAATTGGGAATGAGCTACAGTGGCTCATGAGCTCTCTGCATTGGGCCTTTTTTTAAAAAAAAAGCTATTATGCAAAAGGAGCAAAATGATCTCCGCTGGATTTTTTTTTTTTTCCTTTCACTGAAATTTTCATTTATCTCCGAAATGTTTTAGTTTGCGTTAGGTCAAGATGGAGGTCTAAAAGTCGACAGATATATGCGTACTTCTCTCCCGAACATCTACGCAGGAGGAGATATTTGCACAACCTCATGGGAGCCCAGCCCCGTTTGGCAGCAGGTAAAACTAATGGTAGTGTGTTCTGGGCTTAAGGATATCTGTGTGTCTTACAGAGGGAATAACTTTGGGAGGAGCCCATGTGTTAGTTATACATTTGTGTAGCCATGTCTTGTCCTTCTTCACCAGTGTTTTCTCAACCTTGGCAACTGTTAAGATGTACGGACTTCAATTTTCAATGTATAGCATCCGGCTGTTCAATAGCGTTTATAAAACAAAAGCCATAAGATTTAAGGTTTTGCAGTAACCTGGAACACTGGAGCGTGTCAGGCTGCAAATGTTTATGGCAAATCCCATTTGTGAAGGATCCCTCTTGAGCAGAAGTGTTTAAACTAGTCCATGGGACTAGTAAGCGAAAGCAGTATGCTCCGTCCCGTATTTGGGTAGACCAGGTTGCTCTGTTAGACCGGTTTCACTGGAAAACACTTAATCTCCCCCTGGTACAGCTGACAAAATGAGGAGAACCTGTAGCCTAGAGGTTAATACAGCTGCCTGACGTGCAAGCGGACCGGGTTCGAATCTCAGAAGGGTATGGCTAGCTGATGAGAGCTAAATAGCCCAAAATAGCTATACTAGTCTCCCTTTAATTCTTTTTCGGTGAATTTAAATTTAACACAGAAATAGTTTGTCGCAGTAGCATCTGCCTGCGACAGCAAAAGCAGATTGCTCCATCCCATATTTGGCATAGACCAGGTTACTGTGATAGACCGATTTCATCAGAAAACACTTAGTCCAGTGGTGGCAAACCTATGGCACACGTGCCAGAGGCGGTACTCAGAGCCCTCTCTGTGGGCACGCGCGTCATGCCCGCTCCCTCCTTCAATTGAGGGGGGGGATCCCCTGGAGGGGAGGGCCGAGGATTTTGCTCAATATCTGCATGACAAAGTCGCGCGAATCCGAGAAGGCTTGGATACCGACTGGTTGGCCCAGGGGGAGGAGACGGAAGCAGGTCTTGAGACGGTTGTATGGGAGGAGTTTGACTCTGTTGCTCCCGAGGACGTGGACAGGGTCCTGGGTAGGCTGAATGCAACCACATGTTTGTTGGATCCGTGCCCCTCCTGGCTGGTACTGGCAGCTCGGGAGGGTACACGAG